GGGCAGGCAGCCAACCCTTTGTTATACTCAGTATATAAAGTATGGCTGCTGGTCTGCAGTATGCTGGTCACTTCCAGTCCACGGTTTGCTGGTCCACAGTTTGCCGGTCCGTGGTCACTTTCGGACTGGCAGCCAACCCTCCACGGCCTGGGGTTGGGAACCCCTGAACTAAATCACAAAAAGGAAGCTTATAAGAAGTGGAAACTTGGACAAATAACAAGGTAAGAATGTAAGAGCATTGCTTGCGTGTGTAGGGATGAAGTCAGGAAGGCCAAAGCGAAATTGGAGTTGCAGATATCAAGGGTGACAAGAAGGGTTTCTACAAGCATGTTGGTAGCAAGAGGAGAATTTGGGAAAGTGTGGGGCCCTTAATGAATGGGGGAGGCAACCTTGTGACAGAGGATGCATAAAAGGCTGAAGTGCTCAGTGCCTTCTTTGCCTCAGTTTTTGCAGGCAAAGTAAGCTCCTAGACTACTGCACCAGGCAGCACAATTTGGGGAGGAGGTGAGTAGCCAGCAGTAGTGAAAGAACAGGTTAGGGACTATTTAGAAAAGCTGGACGTGCACGTGTCCATGGGGCTGGATGGGATGCATCTGAGCATGCTGAGGGAGTTGGCTGATGTGGTTGCCGCCCCATTGACCATCATCTTTGAAAACTCACGGTGATTGGGAGAGATCCCAGATGCTTAGAAAAGGGCAAACATGGTGCCCATATTTAAGAAAGGGAAAAAGGAGGATCCAGAGAACTACAGACCAGTCAACCTCACTTCAGTCCCTGGAAAAATCATGAAGCAAGGGATCCATTCCTAAGCACTTGGAGGAGAAGGTGATTAGGAGCAGTCAGCATGGATTCACCAAGGCCAATCAACCTGATTGCCTTCTATGATGAGATGACTGGCTCTGTGGACATGAGGAGACCAGTGGATGTGGTGTACCATGATTTTAGCAAGGCTTTTGGTATGGTCTCCCACAGCATTCCAGCAGGCAAGCTAAGGAACTATGGGCTGGATGAATGGACTGTAAGGTAGATAGAAAACTGGCTGGAGCATTGGGCTCAGAGAGTAGTAATCAGTGGCTCAGTGTCTAGTTGGCAGCCGATATCAAGTGGAGTGCCCTAGGGGTCGGTCTTGGGGCCGCTTTTCTTCAATGTCTTAATCAACGACCTGGAAGATGGCATAGGGTGCACCCTCACCAGGTTTGCAGATAACACCAAGTTGAAGGGAGCAGTCGAGATGCTGGAGGGTAGGGATAGGATTCAGAGTGATGTAGACAAATTGTAGGATTGGGCCAAAAGAAATGTCATGATGTTTAACAAGGGCAAGTGCAAAATCCTATTCTTAGGACAGAACAGTCCCATGTGCTTGTACAGGCTGGGGGCTGACTGGCTGGGCAGCAGCTCTGCGGGAAGGACCTGGGGGTTATAGTGGACATAAAGCTGAATATGAGCCAACAGTGTGCCCTTGTTGCTAAGAAGGCTAACAGAAGACTGGGCTGCATGGGTAGGTGTGCTGCCAGCAGGTCAAGGGAAGTGATTTTTCCTCTCTATTCAGCACTGGTGAGACCACATCTGGAGTGCTGTGTTCAGTTTTGGGGTCCCCAATACAGAAAGGATGTGGACCAATTGGAGAGGGTCCAGCAGAGGGCAACAAAATGCTTGGGTGGCTGGGGGACATGACTTACGAGGAAATACTGAGGGAACTGGGCTTATTTAGTCTAGAGAAGACTGAGAGAGGATTTAATAGCAGCCTTCAACTACCTGAAGAAGGGTTTGAAAGAGGATGGAGCTAGAGACTGTTCTCAGTGGTGACAGGTGACAGAACAAGGAGCAATGGTCTCAAGTTACAGCAAGGGAAATTTAGGTTAGATATTAGGAGAAATGTCCTTACTAGGAGGGGAATAAAACACTGGAACAGGTTACACAGAGAGGTGGTGAAATCTCCCTCCTTTGAGCTTTTTAAGATCCAGCTAGACAGCATCTTGTCTGGGATGATCTGGTTGGGGATGGTCTTGCCTTGAACAGGGGGTTGGGCTAGATGACCTCCCGGGTCCCTTCCAGCCCTAATTTTCTCTGATTCTGTCAGCCTTTTGCGAGAGATGGCTTCTGAGGTATGGGAAATACTCAACTTTCTCCAGTCTCATTGTGAATCTGAATGACTGGAGCTCAGGATTGCTCATTAAGAGCTTGTTGATGGAGGGCTTTCGTCTTCTGAATGTTAAATATCAGTCCCATTTTCTTGTATGCCTTGGTAAAGATGTCGACAATTGCCTGAAGGTCTGCTTCCAAATGAGCACAGACTACAGCATCATCCATGTACTGGAGCTCAGTGATGGAGGTCAGGGTGGTCTTGGTTTTAGTTTGGAGTTGGCTGAGATGAAACAGCTTACCATCCATTCAGCAGTTTAGTTCCCCTCCAACTGGAAGCTTGTTGATGGTTAGATGTAGCATTGTGGTAAGGAATATCAAGAAGTGTTGGAGTGATGATGCAGGCTTACTTAACTCCCATCTTAATGTCTAAAGGATTTGTGATAGATCTGTTACTGACAACCATCACTTGCATGTCATCATGGAGCCGGCAAAGAATGGTGATGCATTTTGGTGGGCATCCATACTTCAGAAGTATACTCTATAGTGCTTTTCGGTTGATAGAGTTGAAGGCTTTTGTGAGGTCAAAAAAGGGCATGTAGAGGTTTATGAGGTTTATGTTATTCCTGGCATTAATCCCACAGCTGGAGAGCAATGAAGATCATGTCAGTTGTGCCTTTTGACATCCTGAACTCACCACACTGAGATTCCAAGAACTTGTCATACAATTTCCTATTCAAATCCATTTATGCTGAAATTTAATGGTATATAAAAATTATCTTTTTTTTTTTTTTATGTCAATGATAGTGCTCTCAGTATTGTCATTTTTAGCTAATTTCTGTCTCTCAATTCCAACAAAATGCCTGGGAACTTCAGATGTGTGTAAAGGAGTCAGCTGCTTGCTTGTTTGAGTCTGTTGAAAATCTTACCCTTCCAGAATGTCTTCTGTAGATGCCCTGTAGTACTGGGATTTGTGTGGCCTGGGTGCTCCTGGCTTGGAACCGTCTAAGAAAGTGATGATCCTTGATTGTGCACCCAGTGTCATATGTAGTAGACAAGGCGGTGTGGCTATAGACATTTTATTCCTAGACAGTGGTACTTGAAAACAGCAAATTTTTGTCTTCCATTTCCTACTGCTTATGTTTCCTTTGCTCCATTTTAAATTATACTCTTTTGCTGTTTAGGAATCTGTTAGGTTTATAATAAATTAGGGTCATATTGAGATGTTTAAAAAATTGGTTTTGCTATCAAGCGTAGCCATTTGTTGGTCATATACCTAACAGGGCTGACACTAGTGTAGAAAATGCATTTTGTAAGATGCATTTTTGTTCTTAATTGTCCATAATGCCCCTTCATTTTGTGCGCTGAAATACAGTGAAGGGCACTTGCTTGGTGACTGCTTGGCTTGTGCGACCTTTGCTCTTTGGGTGTATCAGGGCCAAGAATGTAGGGTTAAACTCCTACTGTTACAGGAATTGTCTCTTGCAGACTCAGCCTGTCAAATTTGACCTTTCAAGCTCAAAGACATCCCTGCTGAGATCTGCTATATCAGATTCTAAGTCTGTTAAGCTGTCCAAAAACAGAGCTAAATCCACTGGTGCCAAGATTTCTTCAATGACAAAGACAGTCAAGTAAAACCTCGATTGGGTCAAGTTTTACTTGGTAGGAAGACACCGAGCCCTTTGCCCCCTCACATGCAGAAACGGAAGGAAGCAGGGTAATTGTCCTTGTTCTACCTGTTTGGTTTAAAAAAGTGCGAGATGCATAGCACACCAAGTGCAAAATAAAGGAGCCTTTTTATGGTTAAGGCCAGGGATGAACAGGTTTTGTGACTGTTATTGACTCTAGTCTTGACTGTATGCTCGGAACCAGTGATCTCAATGGATCTGCAGGGAGGCGGAGATGACCTTCTCCCCTTTCCCAGTTTAGAATAGATGGATTCTGCCTTGACAAGGAGACCCTAGAACCAGGGGTTTTCGTCTCCAAAATCCTTCAAAGTGCCCTCTCCATTTGAGGGGCCAGGTGATGTAGTCTAAGGAGAGTCTCTGTCTCAAGGGTCTCATGTAAGGCTGTGGTAATTTTCCCACCAGAGGACAGAGTTTCCCAGATTTAATGCTTCAGGAGTTATTTAGGTTATTCTTTTTCCATCCTGATCCCCTCCCAACTGATTTTCTTTTAAGCACTGTTCGTACGGTGTTGTTCTTATCCCAGTTTCGTCCACAGACATGGGTGTTTTGATCTCTTTCAATAACTGTCTATCAAGTTTCCTTATATTTCCCAGCTGCGATGAATTGATATGTCCAATATTTAAGAAACAGATGGGAAGTGGATCTTTTGTGGGATGAGATTCCTTCCCAGTAAGGAGAAGAAACCTTCTGTTATGTCGATGCTAAGGAAAAGGTCTCTTTCCAATACAATGCCATTCCGATCCCGGCACTGTTGCATCCTGTTCCTAATCACTGAATGAACTGCCAACCTTTCCTGAAGTATTTGTGCCAGAATTACCTCTGAAGCTCTGAACTTTCCCATATGTGTACCCCTGTTTCTTGGGGTGTTCAATGACATCTGAAGGCATGGAGAGGAGCTATGGTGATTACATGCCAGTCTACATGCCCGCTCAGTCAGACCTGCACATGCGTGTCAGTCACCCATCCAGGCATTACGGATGTTTTGAGCATCAAAATCTTCTGTGCTGATGAGGTTTTCGCCGCAATAGTATGGCTCTGGAGATGCAAAGAATGTGGGCTCTAGTTGTTGAGAAGCTACTTTTGGTTGTTATTTTTGCCTTTTTTCCTGGTGAGGTGTTGCCCTGATGAGGTGGAGCCTCCAATTCCAAAAATAGAACATTTTATTACACTTACTATATTCAACTGTCTTACTTTTTTTTTTAATGCCATCCTATCTTTCTGATTATTCAGGCCCCTTCACATCCTGATCTGCAATGCTGCTGTTTTTGCTCTCCCATGGTCTATGACAGAGGATGACTTGGAGTCCACCTTTCAGGTGAATTATTTGGGGAATTTTTACCTTGTCCAGCTCCTTCAAGATGTCCTGTGTCGCTCGTCTCCTGCAAGAGTTGTGATGGTTTCATCAGAATCACACAGGTTGGTTCAAGTCGCACAGTATGGTTTATTGTTTAGCTCCCTTTCTAAAATCGGACGGTCACTAGGGTGGAAATACAAACCTTTTAATACACAAAAGGCCTGGCTTTACAACACTGGCTCATGCCTGAGAAATCTTACTGAAAGGATTGCTCTTATTTATGAATGCTGGAGGATCTGGCTATAACATACAAGTTTCATAATATTGGGTAGTATTTTTTTGGCCACTCTTTGTACGAATGCAGATTTTTCACTGCACTTCAGGCCACTGATTGATTTTGCTAGGAGATGGAATAATAATTGATTAAATCAGAATGGCGTGACCTTTATTGATTTGTCATTCAACAACTTCAACATCTTACCAAGAAGAATGTGTGGTTATTCTAACAGGAGAAACAATGCAATTAAAGACTGCTAGATGAAATCCAATTGTTTTATAATGAGAAGTTAGGGAATTCAATGCAGACATTAGGTATATAATTGTAGGAAGGGAAGTACTGTAGTTAATACATATTAGAGATCTGGCTATGCCTCTTTTGGTTAAAATTTCAATTAAAATATCAGACAACACTTTTTCCTATCAGCAGTTGGAGTTTAGTTGGCCAAAAGCATGATGCTCAATTTTATATTACTCTGGCTATTTCTGCAGCTTGTTTTGGAGCTGTGTTAAAAACTGAAAAGAAAGAAGAGGGGGGTTTTGGTTTTTAGTAATTACCCAGAATAAGATGTAGCATCCAGTGCTTTCTGGCCCCAACCACCTTTCTGATTTCTGGATGTGCAGAGATTGCAGGATTGGGCCATGAAGGCCAGTGTTACTAACATTACTGTTGATTTTGATTTCACTTTTCTGGTGCTGCCTATAACAGCTTTAGCAAAGCCAAAAGAAAAAAATGTGCAAGTACTTTTTTTTGATTTCTGAAATGTTTTAGTGACCCAGAATGAAGCTTATTTTTTTTAATCATGTTTCCATAAAATGTAACCCTTGGGACCTGGTAGAGAGAAGACCAGCCAAGGGTCAGGCTGAACCCTTTATCACTTCCAAACACAGGGCCTTATGGTATAAATGACACACTGCAGATAGATTTACTTTTACCATTTTAAATTTATGATGGCTGAAATGAAAGGAAGCAATAGAAAACGCCAGTAATAATCCTCCCTGGTGTTAAAAGACATGAAACATCTAGTAATTAGGTGGTAACAAAATCTGGACATCCTTATCTTTGCAAATCACACCAGGTTTGTTAAAGCAAGTAGCAGAGTTCTGGTAGGAGTGAGGAAGGCTACTGTGGGGCAGGCAGGATAGCTCTAGAAATAAATCTGCCAACTTCAATCACTTGCCAGATGTGGAGGGCACAATGGGATATGTATAAATGAGCTGTTATTTAATGGGCGATTATGTTGAATTGTCAGCTGCTTGTTTCCCTTTGTAAGTTTGTATCTCAAACAGTATTTTAAATGACATCTTTGTTTCCCCCCCACCCTTAATAGCTGTGCATAACTGGAGCTTATATCTTTGCATTTCTTTATCTTTCTTTTGAAAAAACAGATTTTTTTTTTAAGTGCTCATTGCTAACTCAGTAAGATCCACAGAGGTTTATGGAAGCCCATCAAAAATTGAGTAACAGTGAATGACTGAATATAACAACTAATGCAATCTATTGCTTTTCCGTTTTTAGGAGTTTATTTCTCGTCCCTTAAATCATATTTGAACATTTAAAATGGCCATTTAAATGGCTTTTTTTTCTGGCAGTTCAATAGCAATAAACTTCTGCAGAGAGCTAGTTTAGACAGTAGATCTTATTATGTGGTAGTACTTTTCGACCTACTTGAGAACTCTGAGCCTTAAACCACGTTGTAAAACAGAAGTGTTGGTATCTAATTACTTCCATAAACCTTGGCTGATTCTTTTCACTGGAGTCAAGCCCCCTGTTAGGGGAAAAATAAAGTTCTGTGTTTGTAGAAAATACTATACTCAACTGCTCCAAGGCAACATATTTATTTGCCTCCCTGCTTCTTCCTCTGCATTGGTTTAACTGGATTCAATGCAAATGAATCTGGTTAAAATTAAGTGTATGGGTAATTTAAGTGCACCATATTAAAATGTGAATAGTAAATAGGTTGAATTTCCTCTTGTCTTAATTTCTATGCAATTAACTTGATAGTACATGGAAGCCAGTGAGAGCTGCCAACATGAGTAAGACTGGTTCACTTAAGTAGGGGTGGTATTGGGTTCATAATATGCCACTGCACACAGCCTGATTTCAAAATTATATTTTTCTTGTAGACAGTGTCTCATGATCTGATTTGGCTACAGTCATTTATGTTTATTCCTGGAGTAGTCTTGAAAGAGGCATTTTATTTCTGAGACCAAGCCAGGTCCTGATTCTTCAAGGCCCTAATCACCCTGGAGACATTTTAGCTGTGTGTATTGCTATTTTTGCCCCTGATTGAAGTGACTAGTTAATCAAGTTATTGGGGCAGGAGATTCTACAATTTAGGCAACCTGTTTTGCACTACAGTTTTGTTTAGGGTTTTTTTTTTTCCTGCTCCCCAGCTTATGCTAAAAGCTCTAAATATTAAAAGAAAGTTCGTTAAATCTTTTTTGGTTTTAGTGGATCTCCTCTGTATAACGTCGTTTTGTAACAAAGTGATTTAATTTATTTCTCAGCACTAATGTATACTGTTAATTTAATAAGCCAACATTGTAAGGATGCTAAGATGACTATCTAGAAAATTCCTTTTCTTCATGTAAATGCCTTGAGTACATTCACTACTTTGTTATTAAAAAAAGAAAAGAAAGAAAGAAACAAACAGCTGGTGTTTAATGACTCTGTCAGACCCAATTAAAAAACATCAACTAGTTACTTTGATTTGTGTTCAGCCATGCCATGGGTGTACTTAAAAACATTATACTCTGCCAGAACTCATTTTGGCTTTGTTTACATTTATCTTTTAAACATATAAGACTATTGATGGCAAGTTACCAAGGTTATAACCCCTTTATATTCATCAATTTTTAATCTAAAAAAGAGTCTAAGAGGCAGCAAGACTCATCCATAGTTACTTGAACACTTGCATGAAAATATGCAATGCTTGAGTATTTGGTAAAAATAAATGTGGGAGATGGGTGGAGGAGGATGGCTAAGAATACACATTACACTGTTTCTAAAAACAGAAATCCTTCATTCTGAATTATTTAAATGTAAGTTAATTGTGCTTGTATGAGTTTCCAAAACAAAGCAAACTTAAAAATAACTCTCTCTGTTGCCATGTGTAAAACAAAAAAAAAAGGCAGTTCATAGTTTTTAAATGATCAGAAAAACCTGTGTTTATTTCTACTTTTGGTGTGTTAAATCTATCCTATCATTTCCTTTTTTTTCCTTCATTTTTTGTGTACCTTAAGCAATGTCCGGTACATCTGAAGGAACTGCAAAATAGGGGGGTTTTTTGTGTAAATCAGGCGCTAAATTTTAATTCCTATCTGGAGCAGCACAACCCGAAGTGAGTTGAGCGGAGTTGCAGTTTTAAATGAGATCAGAGTTTGGTCCGTAGTGTCTAAGGTATGTTTACTGTTTTTTAGATTTACAGACATAAAAGACTCCTCAGGAAAACTTGACTTCAGCCTGCTTTCTCCATCTAAGAAAGAGTACTGGGCTATGCTGGCGTACAACCGTTCCAAGCTTTGCAATATACTCTTCTCCAATGAGCTAAACCGACGCCTTTCTCCCCACGGGGTGACATCTAATGCAGTGCATCCTGGAACTATGATGTACTCGTCCCTCCATCGCAACTGGTGGGTGTATACCCTGTTGTTTACCTTGGCTCGGCCTTTCACCAAATCCATGGTAAGCGACTGATCTGCAGCATTTTACACATCCTCAGTTTTCAGATCCTGGGAGTGAAGCTACAAAACCCCCAGATGTACATATTTGCTTTAACCTTTTGCCCCTCACGACTACAACTGTATTTTTAATGACGATCGCACTGTCAGGCCCGCGAGCACTCTAAGAAAGGCTCCTCAAGCCATTTCAGATTAGCCTTGTCTGTCTAATGTAAACACGCTGTGTTGGAATGCAGGGTTTTTATTTGCTCTGGTAAAGGGAATTGCATCTGGTAGGGCCTGGGGTTGATGTTGTGATTTGGTTTATGTTTAAAGCATTTAACAAGTTGTCTTGAAATTTTTAATTGTTTTTGCTCAACCATTTTTCATCTAAATAGAGAGGTAGGTAAATGCCTTGGTTAGAGAACCATGCTAATGGGATTATTGATGACTGAGGAAGATGCTTTCAAGATGCTTCTGCAGGTTTATAACTTTTTGCTCTCTTTCCATTATTTGTAAGCCCAAAGATAATTGCTTCCTTAGGTGGGTTTTTTTTTCTTAGTCTGTTCTGTTTTTTTGTTTATGATCTTTTGAGGGATTTCAAGCGGTCATTTTTAAATAGCGAAGCATGAAAGCAAACTACCGATTCTTAAAAATGTTTCAAATGCTGCTTTTTTGCTTTGGGAGAAAAACCAAACAAGCTTGAATTTCAAATGGGAAGCATTGCTCAGTGAAGGGGAGCTGCATGGATGTGTTGGAAGAGTCTTGTTGATGACACATTTATAAATGCCTGACAACTGTGTTCTACAAATGGCAGTGCGACATGAATTCATCTGTCTGACGCTCTGGATGCTCAAAACCATAATATTTTATAGCTCTTTCAGGAGCAGCCTGCCTCAAACATCATCAGATCATAATTTAAAAGGACAGGTGTGCCATTTGCAAACAATAGTATTCAAATAGGATAGTAAGTGGTGAGAAATCTAGTTGTAACCCTGCCAGGATTATGAGTTAGCCAACAGTACCCCATGGCTTCAGTGGATTCTAAATGAGGCATTAAAACGCGTTGCCCTACTGCCCAGTTTCTTACCTTGTACCATTTCCAGAAAGTAATGTTGTCTTTCCACCGAACACCAGATTGGGCCCATTATGCAAAGAAGATTGACCTAGTCCTTTCGTAACTACTACTAGCATCCTTCATTATCTAAGACTTTGCACTACTGACAAGCAGAGGGGTGTTACCCCTATCTTCTTCTAACCCCTGACCTGATTTATTTATAAACTGTCCACATTGGTTTGCTGGACTTGGGATGACTTTTACTTTGCTGAGAACTGGTTGCCTTTTAACCTTATTGACTGTTTCTCATCACCTACGCACTGAGAGAGACTGACATTCCCAAAGGAAAAATATGCCTCTCCATTTTCTGCAACTACGCATCAGGGTTGTGGAGAAAGGGAATCCAGACCTATGCAGAGCCAATCCTGCTTTGGCGGTTGGTTCAGTCCATCTCACCGTGGACTTGGTGATTGATGCCAGCGGTAGTGGGGTTACACAACTCATTGTCACTTTGAGCCAGCGATCTGGACAAAATGAATTGTTTTCGTTTGAGAAGGAGCAGGGAAGGAATTGATGGGAGTGGAGTATCCATCTCCGAGTAGCTCAGTCAATAACAAGACCCCCAGTAGCTGGTCAGATTAATGTCTGAAGTGTGCAGTTAGCTACAGGAAAGGGGCCTGATATATATTCACTTAAACTAGTTTCACACTGGTGTATTTAAAAAAAAAAAAAGGGACTTAATTTTAATTTACATCAATACAAGAAAGTGGCTCAGGCCTCGGGTGTTCAAAAGTCTGAAAGTGGCCCAGAGGCCAAAGCTCTAGTCTTTTCCAACAAAAGAGACAGATTTTCAGTGATGCCTTATTCCATCCTCCGTCTATGAGAGAGAAGTTGTACATGCTCTTGCTTCCATAGTTTGATGCATTAGCAATGACGTGGGCAGTCTGACTAATCTTAACACCTCTGTAGGTTGCAGAATTCATATGTACAAAAGACACACGTGCCAGTTTGGTCAGTATGCGAACTGTTGAGGTGGTTGAGCTTTGGTGCGTGACCTGAGCAGCTGTTGAGGCATGCTTCAGTCATGCATGCGGTGGTCAGTACAATAAATGTGTGCCCTATGAAGGCCAGAGTTTGTAGGACAGACTGTGAGCTTCTCTTCGGGTAGGATAAAATGTTCTCCTTATCTGAACTGATAGGAATGTGGTAGGTCCGTCAGTGAGTAATGCTATTGTTGAAGTAAAAATGATACAGGTTGTGGTACCTAATTTAAATATCTCAGCTTTGCTTACTTGGATGCAAATGAGACTTTTGTATCTGTTTAGTTTTATAGTTCAGGTAAGCTCACCGTCCTGTATTTGAATTAATTAGGGATTTTTTATAAATTTTTCTTTTGCTGTACTCATTAGCCTTCTATGATGGTGCTGATTTGTTTCTGGTGTTCAGGCAGAAAGGATCAGCGATCCTCAAAGCAACGGGAATTACTGGACTCCGTTGTTTATGAAGGTTGGCTTGGAGTGAGTGCAGACAATTAAGGTGATATGATGATGAGCATGGGTGAATGTATAGTATATAATGTGACAAATACTGCCCTTATCCTCCCAAGTGCCTCTACCACATGAATAAGTTGGGCTAAAAGCTGAGAGAACTTGCTAGAAACAGGCATCCCTTCTCGAGCATGCAGGCCACCTATGCCCTATCCTCCATATTTTCCTAGTAAATTGCTTTAGAGGTCAGATGAGTTTACGGTTAGGATGCCAAATTTCTTTCTTAGAGTTTAGTTGGCACAGGTGTGAATTGTATGATTGTAGTTTGTTAGAAAACCGTACCCTGCCTAACACACAGAGCCCCTGGTTAATGATTAGGGCCTTTCTATCCTAATATGCTGCACATCGTTAATATTCAAGTTTTGCTTTTTGTTTCACAAGACAGACAGTGTCGTAGGGAAGCACTGAGAATATGGTGGATGATATACTGTAGGCTTCATTATTGCAACTTTTTGGTCAGTTATGAAGCTTCTGATTCAGAAGAGAATCAGAAGATTCATTCTTTCTCTCTCTCTCTCTCTCTCTAATATTTTACATCTTGTGTATCCACAATAATATACTTCCTCCAAATTGCTAAATCAGTTACTGCTTATTACTGAGAGTATTAATTTTTGTCACATTTGTTTTTTGCAGTAATTATATCCTAATGGAATTTATTAAATTATGATCCCTTTAAATTACAGTTGTTAGAAATTACATTTGCGTCTTAGCAAGTTGATTATTTAGTTTCACTTCCAAAGAGTGGGTGAGGTTATATGCTCTGGTTTTGAAAAAAATCCTAGTAGCTCAGTTCGTAAACGTTGAATAGCTCCAGTCTGAATGAGAGGGCGTAGTGCTGTCTTCAGAGATGCATGCTACTGCCTACAGAGAATTTCCATTTCTGGGAGAGGTCATGCAGCCTCTGGCATGTGGCACTTAGAAGTCTCTGCATGACAGAATCACTGCTAGGAAACGCTGCCTGTAGCCCTCTAGTTCTAGCTGATTCCCTGAAGCATTGAGGAGCACTGTTCTAAAATCACCCCTTTTTTAAATTTGCCATTACTTGCTGTGACTACAGTGACTTCAGTTTACAATAATTAGGATACTTGTCAAGGAACCAGGCTATTCGAAATACATGTTCAAGGAATGGTGTTGCGGACAGTTAGTTTTACAATTTGGACACTCTTATTCTTAAGTAACTTTCTTGGGCTGAATTTCTCTTAGACAAGCTAGGCTTTTAGATATGTATTTTTAATTGTTGCTTTAAATGGATTACCATGTTAAAAGAAATGCAACTCCATCCCATCCATGTCTTAAGGTTTCTCACCATATAGTAATGTCTGACGCATCAGTGCTGAACATAGCCACTCCTTCTAGTCAATGACATGAAAGTTTCAGGTCTGCTGCTGCTGCAACTTATTTGTATGGTGACTCTAGCAGACATTATACTACTTAGACAAGTGGAAACTGAACTGAATGTTCTGCCTTCCTCAAACTCCTACATGTTTTGAAAAAAAGAAGCCAACATATGGATTTAAAACATATGGAGTTATAAGACACTTCAAGTGTGTTATATGTGGTAGGTAGCACTAGTAGTAAGTTTCATAGTTGGTAGGGTTGGAAGGGACCTGAGCAGATCATCAGGTCCCATTTAGTACTTCCATTATTGTAACAATCAGAAGCTGTAATTAGGACCAGGTCTTTATAGATTTATATAAATGTCAAGTAAAATAGCAAAAAGTAGTATTGGCAATGAAGAGCTTATGTTCTGCTTGAAGGCAAACTGCATCAGGTAGGTATTAAGGACAAATGGGAAGATTGGAAGAAGGACTCAGAGGCATCAGTACGTCAGAGCTTGTACAGGCCCAGCTGGCTTGATAGAAGTCGGTAAGAAGGAAAAGAAATATGCATGGTATAACTATGTAGTCCCTGGTGTTTTTAATGTTAATGTGCATTCAAAATTCCTGACTTGTTGCTAGATTCATATACAATTAAAATTGAATAAATTTATCAAAAGATTTTATTTCTGATACAAAACAGATTTACTAGCACCTCTACCATATGATCTTGTCAGCGTACAGTGGCATATAAAATTAGAAGCAGAGTGCTATTATCACACACTTGCGATAGTCTTACATAGAACCAAATATTTTTGTTGGCAGGTAAGAGCAGAAAGAATATCATGTGTTAGTGTAGCAAGAGCTTAACAGATGTTACAGTGAACTAAATTTTTAAATCCTTTTACATTAAAAAATGGCTAGCGTTTGTAGAAGTTCTGAGACTATTGGGTTACGTTTCCTGTTGCAGCGCAAAGCCAGCCATTGTACTATAGTTTTAACAGATGTGCTACTCCCTTCTTAATGGATGGGAGTAAAATGTTGTTTCTGTAGCAGAGTTATAAATTATACCTCGCAAAGCATGAGATGTCACTCTCAACCTCAG